AGAAAATGGGCTTAAAGTGTAAAAAACCGAACTTCTCCTTTAATAAAAAACTTTTAAAATTAAAATTAAGTGTTCCTTCCTTGGCTATGCTTTGCACACATAACAATGACACTAGCCAAACTGGTTAAAAAACAAAAATAATTCTCAGCAGCTGCACCTCTTACAAAAAAAAAGTCTGAAACTGAAAAGTGCACAGAATTATTCAATCACACAGTGTTCTGAATGTGCATTGTCCTCTATTCTGCACTTTAGATGAATGAGTGGCTCAGGTGCCACTGGTGGTGGCACTGTATCAATACTTTTAAAAACGAGTATTGTATCCGGATACAACGTTTCAGTATCAATACTTTTTTGAGTATCAATACTTTTGACAACCCTACCCTGTATGGATCAGGAAAAAAAACTGGATCAGTGCATCTCTAGCTGACAGGCTGTAAATGAGTCTATAACACAAAAAGTGAACACATGCTACAGGTTCACTATACAAGCTGTACTTCTGGAGCAGACAATTAATGAATTAAAGGATTATTTCCGTTCATGTAACACATCATTTCAGTAAACATTTCCCTACACATTTGTTTTTAATAAACTAAAAAAACATAGTAAAGTACATTCTAGTGTTTGATGTGTTTATTTCCTTTATACGCAGAGAAGAAAACACATCTCAACTTTCTGTATAAGACTTTGTAATCAGCAATAAGAGTCTGGCTCTGACTTTCAGGGATGTTTCCAACATTTGGTCTAACGATCGATGCAATAAGACCTGATGGAGACGTCTGGTAATTTAGCAAATAAAGTGGAAAAATATCCAGCCAAAAGTTAAATGAAATAAAGGTTTAATTTCTAACATCATATTTAATACAGCGGAACCAACAAATAAAACCTGCCTTTAGAACATTAGTTCAGCATGAAAGAGTTTTTGGGGTTAATTAGTTTTTCTTCTTAATTTGATCAGTTATGATGAATTCCATGGATCAGACAAAACAGCTGTGATGAAAAGTTATTGAGCTCTCAAAAATCAAAAGCAGAAAAAAATTATTGCCATTAAAAAAATCTCCAACTACTAAATCTGAGAAATAATAGCAGCCTGTAGAAGAACTGGATAAGATGAGAAGCTTAACCCCAAACACAATAAAATAAAAAAAATAAAAAACAGAAAAGATCATGCTGAAGAAAAGTGAACTCTAGAGCCTTTAAAAAATAAAGCTTATCAGGACTGAGCAGATAAGCAGGACTATGTGAAGAAAATGAACCCCTCCTATACATTCTCAGGTTGATCATGTTCTTTACAATGAAACCACATCCAGGTCATTCAGTTTTACATGTTCTGTTAGTGGGTTTCCTGTTCTCTGGTCAGCGCTTTACCTCAAAAGGGAAGAACTGAAACAATCTGAACGACATCAATTTTTCATTTGATGCCATTAAGTTTGATCTGTAGATGGTGATCTCTGATCATACATTGCTCTCTCAATTCTGAAACTAAATATATTTACAGTACAACACACTCAAAGATTTAGGCGATGGTACAAGTATGGAAAATTTGTCTCTAATCTATATTAAATTAATAAACAGAATCAATAAGCCTCGGCTTCCTTTTAAAACGAAGGTGCCAGCAGTAAAATAGTTAAGATTATGTCAGTTGTGACGACACAAGTGAGACACATCCTGGAGAGAAATATAAGCTGTGCTGCTGCCATCAACACCTTTGTTTACAGATGTTGGAGATCGGCTTGTTTTTCCAGTGTAGTCCTGTTTCTCTGACTGTGACTGGTTGGATGTGCTCTCTTCATCCCCAGTCGGCCTGGGCAAATTCCCGCTCACACTGAAGGCTCATTTATACTCCAGGTCGTCTGCCAAGGTGTCACAGTGAACGCAGATACGTCCCCGCCCCCGCTGCAGACACTCTGCTGCACCGCTCCCAAATTTTAGGTGACCGCAGACAGTGCTGCAGACAGGAGGCCTCTGATTGGTCAAATCTACATCCACTCTATTCATGTGTATTTCCTGTTTTTTGTTTTACCGGCTTGTTTTGTTTATATGACCGCCATTTTGGAAAACAACTCATGAAGATGGAGCTAGAAGAGAGAACGTGAGGACCCTTTTTCCACCTGGATCCCCGCTCTTTTTCACCCTCATGTCCCTCCGTTGTCGCACAAACTTGCCCCCACTTCCTCACCGCTTCAGCCGTGTCTAGACCCACAGCTAGTTTCGTGATTTTCCCTCTTGCATTGTGGTGTGGAATAACATAGCGCAAACCATGCTTCAAAATTGAGCGTAAATCAAAAATGTCTATGTCAAGCTCACTACAACACATTGCTGTGGGAAGTATAACCAGCCCTTGAGCCTGGTTCTGCTGGAGGTTTCTTCCTGTTAAAAGGGAGTTTTTCCTCTCCACTGTCGCTACGAGCATGCTTAGTTTTTACATTTTATTTCATTGACTGGAATTGCATTCCAGTCAATGAAAAGATGAAAAGAATCCACTGCTTTGGTTTGACAGTGAAGAAAGCCTCCAGGTTATCAGTTGTTCCTCAAACGTTTTTTTACTGGCTGCTGTTCAAATATCTAGAGAATGTTGGTGAGAGTGTGAGATGAATAGAAAAGAATAAAACACCTTGATCCTAATCATTAAAAACAGGCTGTCATGAGATGGGTGAGTTCATAGATGTTGTAAACTCGTGGGGCTGTGGCAGCACTTCCTATCAGGCGATGAATCAGAAAGAAAATGAGCTTCAGACACAGAAACAGACAGGATGAACAGAACTAGGATCAAATCTTTCTTAAGAACCATGTTAGCAAAACTTGATTGCTTTTCTTGCTAACAGACCGTGACTTTCTGAAAGAAAGTGTGTATAGATGGAGGGATGGATGGAAGGAAGGATGGAAAAAAAAACGCGTTTTGAAACCGAGAAACTAGGAGGAAAGGAATAGAGTGTGACGTTAGAAATAAAAGAATCTGTTATTTAACTGAAAAAAGATACTTTCCTCCCACATTGTTAGCTAATCCATCCTCATCTCGTGATGGATACAAACGTCCACCAGAACTTTTAGAACTTCACTTTCACTCCAAAAACTCGTCTGTTGACAATACGAACCTTTCGAAGAATATCCTGACAACGAAAATCCCCAGAGCCAGCGGTAAAGCCGCCAACAAGTGTCCAGGTTTGGGATACTCCACCCCGGGAGCGGGGTCCGCCAAATCCGCCCAGGTTACGTTGTGCGGCAGCCAGAACCTCTCGTTCCAGAACCAGGCTGATAGAGCAGCCATGTTTCGCCGCCTTCCCGTCCCCGGATGCTCGGAGGAAAGTGACTTGAAAGAGTCGGCACGTTGGGTTTGATGGACGCCTCCACTTCCCTCCCAGTACCGCTTCACTCTCAACGTTACGCAGCGTCAAGCCTGCGCGCCGCGCGCACTTACTTCCGGTTACGAGTTTCAAATCAAGATGGCGCCGTTTCATGGACGATAAATAACAAATGCAAACGCCTTTTCTTTCAGACTTTTGACGATTATATGTTGTTTAACCTTTATCTTGTTAATAAGGAAGAGGATTAGGGCCACTGAAAAAAAAGTTATCAGATTTTTATTTATTTTTTTTCAGTATTTTTTCAGTATAACAAAATTCTGACCCTTTTCTCAGATTTCTGACTTTTTTTCTCAAAATTCGGACTCTTTTCTCGGAAGTCTGACCTTTTTCTCAGATTTCTGACTTTTTTCTCAAAATTCTGACTGTAATCTCAGAATTCTGACTTTTTTCTTCAGAATTCTGTCAGCTAACAAACATGTTAGCGTCAAGCCATGTCTGTTTTAGAGCCTAAATTAGCTCTCTTGTTTTAATCACCTTCTGCTCTTCCATCAATGAAATAGTATCACCAAAAAAGTTTTTTACTAATTTTTACATTTTATTTCAGTCTGAGAAAAAAAAAAAAGTCACAATTCTGACTTTAATTTCAGAATTCAGACTTTTTTCCCATATTAAACTGAAATAAAATTTAAATATTAGTTAACTTTTTTTTTTATCTCTTCAGTGGACCAGTTTCGTAAAATTTTATTTCAGTTTGATATGAGAAAAAAGTCATAATTCTGACTTTTTTTCCCAAAAGTCAGAGTTGTCCCAAATTCACATTCCTCAAGCATCATAAATAGTACCAAAAAAAAAAAAAGCAGCTGCAAATTAGATGTTCATTAATTTTTGTGAATTTCTCTCTTTAGTTAATTTTAAACCATTATTTTTTTTTTCAGAGGCTCAAAGGTGAAGCCGTATTTTTCAGTTTCCGGTGTTGTTTCGCTGTTTTCTGCTAACTTTCCAGCACTTGGCTGCCGCCCTGAGATCAGGACTAGAATAGAGGAAGTAAAGGCAGTCCTGCCTCTGCTCTGAAGGGATGGGTGCAGCACATGGATCCCCTCTCATCTCACTGCAGGGCTGTTATTTTTTTCTCTTTTGAACTGATCCGAAATTTCTTAGCAGCAGCCGCCTTTTGATCCACACGATAAGGTTATATTAGTAGAAAATATATATAAATATAAAAAATCTGAATGAGGGGCAAGACAATAATTAATGTGATTGCACCCCCAAGCGGACAACAATTGTATTACAACCAGAAATTGGTATCACGTGTTACTGAACGCCTCAACTTGCAATAAAGGAATGTAAAATTTCCCGCCAAAGTGTCACTTTAAATTGCCACGTTTTATAACAGGCTCACACACGTTTGAATATAATTATTTTTATATTTTTTTATATTAATTTTAATTAACTTTATTTGTGTTGACAAGTGAGAATGAGGCATGTAGCTGCATTGCTTTCTGCTTTCTAATTATAGATGGACATTTACTCCTGTGGGTTGTGTTATTATTAGAGATCTTAGAGGGCACTTGACTCAGTAACTATTTGAGGGCTTGTACTGAGAGTCCATGTTAGAACTGATTCTTCCCACACAGTGAGCAAAAGAGAAACTAGATTATAAAATGATGTGAAAATTTGAATTAAAAAAGCTTCCTTGATGGGAAGCGAAACCTCTTCAAAACTGGGAAACAAAGTCCAGTTTTTAGAATGACTATGACCCGGCTGGCTGAGAATCTTCACCAGCATAGATTATAAAATGAATATAAAAACAAAAAACATGTTTTCTGAAAGAATTCCTCTCAGTGGATGAAAGGGGATCCTTGCAGCGCAGGATTAGTGATGTCTCACTGTCAAGGCCGCAGGAAATGAGCTGCCAGTGCCAAATGATTTGTGTAGATAGAAGTAGGATACTGGAACATTGAGGAATTACTGTTGATAAAATACTGAAGGGGAGAACTTTTTTCCAGGGCTGGGAAAGTGAAGAGTACAGAAAGTTATCTATGGGGACTGAAGGACCGACTGCTCATTTAACGAAGAGCTGATCTTAACGCTCTAGAAAATGGTAAAGGTGAAGAGTTTAGAGTGGCAGCCAGGCAGCTCTCAGCTCCGGTTACACTGAGGCCACTCTTCCACTGTTTATGAGTGCATCATGCAGGCAGACAAACACCAACAAGTTACACTAACAGACACAAACTTATTAAGATTAAAATTATTTATTCTAAAATACATTATGTAAAACTTTTGGGCACTTTCATTGAATCTTAATGAAAAAAAAAATACATTATTGGAGTGGTTTTAGTTCAGTGCTTCCTTTTTCATGAGAAACCTATGAATGAAAAGGCACATTTGTAACATTTGATAAGACCTTGGTTATTGTACGTTTTTTAGCCAAATTAAGACAAATTTTTCAAAAGATTTAAGACTCAAGTCCTTTACAACAATTTAACCATCAGTAAAAACAGAAAATGTGCTTCTGTCAGCAGGTCAGGTAAACACAGGGCAAATAAAGCCCATTTTTCTCTTTTTTAGATTTTAGAAATAGACCCAAAGTGACTGCAACAAGGGAAGGTCTGAAGCTCAGACCAAAATTAATAAAAACTGTCCCTCCCATTAAAAACTTGGTTGCACAGTAGCTCTAATAAGTCTTTCCCAGCTTCAGTCCATTATTTGAGTCTCTCACAAGTGCTCAGGGTGGTTTTGCAAACACTTGATGAACTCTGTGACTGGGTGGCCATTGAAGCAGATCTGATAAACAGCAGTGAAAAGAGGAAACCTGCATGGGGAAGGGGACAGAAAAGAAGGAAATCGTTTTTAAATCCAGAGTTTGGTGTAGTTCCAAGACATAAACTGCAGTTAACCCTTTAAATCCTGATCCAAGAATAAAACAAAACAGAATATTACTTTTTTTGGTTTGAATTCCTTATTTTTACTTTTAACAAAATATGTAAAAAAGAAAAAACAGAAATACATTTTTGATATTAATAATTTATTACTGTGCGATAAGTCAAGATTATTTTTTGCGTAGTCTTCTATTGGCTGTTATCAGGTATATCTGATTGTGTACAATAGGATTTTGAACAGTTTTTACCATTAAATTATGCAAAAGGTGTCAGATGCAAAACATTTCAGATCAAATACGATACATTTGGCATTATAGGGTTAATATGCATATAGTTTAACACCATCTCTGATTTTAAGCTCATATGAGCTAAACAAATGTGGCTAATGCATATCATCATGTTTTTTATGAGATGTATAACTCTTATTTATTCTCCACTGCAGCAAATAGTAAGAATAAATACAAATGATAGATAAGAGCAGATTTTTTCCCTTTTTATCAAATAATATAGCAATAAACATTACTGTGAAGATGCATACCATCTATTACACTGTGCATTTTAATTTTAAAGTAATAAACCAACCCTTTTGTAACTACAGTCACAACGTGAAAGGATTTGATAGAATCCTTCATGTTTCTGTGATTTTGAACAAATATTTTATCAGACTGATCCTCTGAATAAAGGTATGGGAGAAACTTACTTGTCCACCATGTTCTTCTGCTTCAAGACTACGTGGACTTCGCTGGCTGTCGCTGGACCTTGAAGCTTCTGTCCGTTCAGCAGCTCAATCTCCAACTGCTCGATGCTCTATGCGGAAACACATACCCATTAACATTACCTGTGGTCTCATCAGAGAGAAATATCTAAGGCAGATGAAAGGGGTTCCTTACTTTCCCCGTCTTTGCAAACGCCTCTCCAATCTTCCGGTTGCGCCCTCCGTAGCAGGTGGTGATGAGGTCAGCCACGCCGCAGCTCTCCAGGAAGGTGGCAGGGGAGACGGGGCAATCTGTGCAGAAGACCTTGGCGAAGGCAATCATCTCCATTAGGCCGAGACGGATCACCGCGGCTTTGGTGTTGTCGCCGAATCCAAGGCCGTCGCAGAAGCCTGCTCCCACCGCCACTATGTTCTAGGAGGATGATTTAAAGCAAAATAGCTTGTAAGAGATTGAGAAAACATCTCCTGCATTTTTAGGCCACCCTGAGCCAGCTGCTGCTCTCAGAGTTATTTCCTCTGTATCTGTTGCTCATCCAGCCGTTATAACCATGTTATTCACCACATCTAGTTTATTTGGGAGGAGTGGATTAACCTTGAGTGCTCCGCAGATCTCCACCACATCAGACTCTTCCACCACCGTCACACGGAAGTTTGTGGTCTGCATCAGATCCTTCAGCAGTGGTCCATAAGCTTTGTCTTTGCACCCTGAGATAAAACGGACAATACAATCAGATGCTTTACAGGTGGAGTTTCAGCAAAAAACAACCATACTGATGCAGACATGCAGGAGGATCTTGGGGAGGAGAATTACTTTAAAATGTTTGCTCTTTGGAATAACTCATGCAAAACTGTACATTGCAAACAGGGCATGATAAAACTGACCCCCCCTGCTGCTCTCTGGGAAGAGGCTTCTGCTGCAGGGCCAGCAGGTTCTGCAACAGCTTTTTCCTCGCTGCCATCAGACTGTTAAACTGTTGAACTCTTAAACTGGACAATGCATCACACCTGGAACATTATTTTGCATTTTGAATGCTGAAATTTAATAATCCTTTTAAATAGGACAAATATCAATGTCCTGATGCATTTTTCACCTTACATATTTTGCACTGCTCTGAACCCTTCCATATTAAGCCCCTTTTGCACCATGAGAACTGAATTCTTTTTCTCCTACTGTTTACATTCTGATCACTGCTGCACTTTATAAATGGTAACATTCATTTCCAGTTGTTAGCTGTCTGCAACGGAATTCCATTTTGTATACATGCAGTGTATACAAGATGACAATAAAGTTTGTCTAAGCCTAAAATGAGAGTCCCCCCCCCAGCTTATTTAAAACAGTAAAATCAGTACCAATAGTTGTTTCGCAGAACTTCTCATCAGCGACTTCATTGGCAATGTTTGCACCCATGAGGACGGTCATGGTGATGCCGAGTTTCTCCCGGATGACCTCGGAAATGAGCTTCAGACCCTCTGGTCCTGCATCTACACCCTGAAGCCAAAATTATAACAGAATAATAACAATAATAAGCAGATGTTTTCAACATGGAAAGAAGGTTTAGGAAGTTTACTCAGAGAGGAGAGGTGAAATGAGTTGTTAATTTCCTCATAAAAACAACAAAACAACGTATTGGTACACTTATAAACTAGAAAAATATTTTGGTTTCATAACATTTTCAAAAGCAAAATAGTTATTAAAGTTCTTGGGCAAAAAAAAAACATATTTGGTGTTTAACTTTTACTGAAATGAATAATCTCCAATGACATCTTTGGAAATCAGAAAAGAATCAGATATAAGCATAAAATCTGAAAAAGCTTCACAGTCTGAAAGGCACTTTGAGTTTGACAGACCTTGATGAGAGACATTCCAATCGTATCCTTTTTTATGTGATCTTTGATGGTTTCGCACACTTTTGAAATGAACTGGTGAGGAACCACGAAAATCAGGATATCAGCTCCCTTCACAGACTCCGCCAAATCTGGAACGGCTACCTGGTAAAGAGAAGAGAGAGTTGAGACAGAGCCATCAGTCTTCTGTTAGAGAAAGAGGAACGTGGAAATAAAGCAGCCAGCCTCATGTCACACTCACCACATTAGGGGGCAGCTTGTGTCCAGGAAGGTACTTCACATTCTCATGGTCTGAGTTGATGATTTCTGAAAGTTTCCTGCCGTTCACCGTCTCCTCAAACACCCACATGTTCACTGTGGTGTCAAACTTGTCATATTTTGCTGCGTTGGCTCCCACGATCTTGGCAATGGCAGAGCCCCTGAGGACATAAGAAGACATGTGCTAATGGGATATATATTTTATTGCACCTCTAACTTCAATTTCAATGAATATCACGGGAGGCGTTAAAGTTGCAAACAAATAGGTTTGATCTATAAAACTGTATATATATATATATATATATACATATATATATATACATATATATATGTATATATATATATTTTTTTAATACTGAGGAGCTTGTTTTCCTATCAACTGTTCAAAATCGGCCTTTCAAAAGAATTCACAAGTACCTCAAAGACAGATTAATATGGGAGAGTATTAGGGCCACTAGAAAAAAAAAAAGTTAACTGATTTTTACATTTGGTTTCAGTATAGTATGGGAAAAAAGTAAGATTTCTGACTTTAATATCAGAATTATTCTGAATTTTTTTATGTAAGAATTCAGTCAGAATTCTGAGATCAAAGTCAGAATTATGAGAAAAAAGTTAGAATTCCTACATTAAAGTCAGAATTCTGAGATTAAAGTCAGAATTCTGACCTTTTCCCCCATACTAAACTGAAATAAAATTTAAAAATCAGTTAACTTTTTTTTTTCCCCACTGGCCCTAATCCTCTTCCGTAGGTTAAGATTTAAAAGGCGAAGATAATTTTTTTTCTACATTTAAACCATCAAATGAAAAGACCCTTGGGCAAACTACACATGCATGTTTATTCTGCAACATGCCATGTGGCGTTTCTCTGTGGAAGCACTTGTTACTGTTTGTTTTAATCGAAGCACACGGAGCGGACTTTGTTCTATGGAAACAATAGGAGTCCATATCTGGCTTCTAAATTTTCCACTTTCAGCAGGAGTTGATGGACGATGCAACTATATTAGCCATTAGAACACAACAGATTCTTACATTACAGAACCAAGGATATATAGAGAATAGGGAATTAAGTTAGCTTTTCATAGCCTACAACCCATTAATAAAAATGATACAAAAAAAAAAAATCATCTTTTATTAGTTATTACCTTTTTATTTCACTATCTTAATGGAAAATCACAATTACAGCTAGCAATTGACTCACCATAAACACATACTCGACCAAGAAATGACCAATATGCCATAAATAATTGACTACTATTACTGCCTCTTTAGTTTGCATTATGTGATCATTAAAAAAATGAACAAATAAGTTTAACAGCTCTAAAGTTTAAGATTTTTATTTTAAGAAATGTACTTTAAAGTCCTGTTTAAATAGTAATAGATGCCTATATTTTAACACAACTTTCAAAAAAAAAAAAAAAAAAAGCTAACACCTCAAAAGGTTCTCCATATAAATTGGTGACAGATATAATTACAAAATATATCTCAGTGCCGTTATTCATGGTTCTCAGTTTTGGATCAAGTTAACTGCTGCTTAAGTTAAAGGTTCTGACATGAAGACCTGGGTTAGACTTGGGAAATTGGATGAAGCAGTAAAGATGTAAGTATGTGAGACATTTTAACTTTAGAGTTGACTGTAATGAAGACATAGGTGCAGAGGTTGCATCCAGCATTGACTAAATGTCACACAGGCTGAGGGACATCAACGGTGCTGGAAGGCTGATTCAGCACAGAGACCTGCAGACTAATAAAGTGACTTCTTTAATAAAGATTTTACAGTTGAGGAGTCTTTGAGTCAGTGACAGTCCCAGGAAACGTCCAGTCTGCAACCTTGAAAAGTTTCCCATTGAGTTTAAGGACTTTATTAATCATTTATCTGCCTTTAAAGTTGCACAAGTTGTCCTACTTTTAGTGTTTATCCACCTAAAGTCTCAGCGTGTGCTGACACTTTCCCTCTGAGCAACATTTCTTGCCGTCTGCCCTTTTTTTAAACTTCACATTTAGCACTAAAGCAACACTGAAAGCTCCCACTCACCAGTTACCAGAGCCGATCACACAGACTTTCTTTGGCGCACTCATCATGTGTTTGGGTTCCCACAGAGAGAGAGGGCTGCAGCTGCTGCTGGGAGGGCGTACAGAGCACTGGAGCAGATTGGATTTATAGCAGACAGTCCCACGGCTGAGGCTCAGACACACCCTCTCCTCATGGTTGGTTTGATCTGTTGCTGCTCAGATCTGCACAGGAGCAGCAGCACCAATCTAAGATGCAGATGCAGAACGGCCCATTTCATTTACACACAAAGGCTTTAATGAATTTGATGATCTCCAGAACACAGTGACGACATCTCAGATGTGATTGAAACTCACTGATTGACTTAGTTTATTCCTAATCACACAGAAACATACAGCTGAGAGGAAAAGTTTGGAACCAAATCCAATTAATCACTTTTAATCCTCCAACTTTTTCATTCTTCTACCAACACTTTATTACAAAAATCACCTTAACCCCATGAAAAAAACATTCATATTGACCATTACATTTTAAACCACAGGTAAGCAAAAGATCAAAGCTCTGCGGGTGTGTTTTTAAGATGCAGGAAACCCAGTAGTGCTTTGATTATCAAGACAGACAGGCAGGATTCATGTGATTATCAAGACAATTTAATTAAGATTATTTTACAGCTTACCTTCTGAAAGTTTAGGAAATCTTTAAACTAGGGCTAAAACAATTAGTCGTGATTAATAGATTAAAATCAACAAATTCTGTAATCAATTTATCGTTAACTGGAGTATAGAGACTGTAAAACATGCCTTTAGCTGACAAAGTGACACACTTAGAGCAGTAATTATATAAAAATTATTTTAAAAAAAAATGTGCATTTAAGATATTCTGACTTTAATCTCAGAATTCTGACAGATAAACATGTTAGCATCAAGCCATAGCCATGTCTGTTTTAGAGACTAGCTCTCTTGTTTTAATCACCTTCTGCTCCTCCATTAATGAGGGCACCCCTCTGGCATGTAAAAAGTTGCCCAATTCCGTCATTTTCCACCAATGTGTCACTGGTCCTCTCAAACAACTCACATCTTTGTCAGTGAAGCTGAGTGCTCCCACATCTCGTCCTTCATGGTGACCATCTACATTAAAATCCAAAATTCTGAGATTAAAGTTAGAATTCCGAGAAAAAAAGTCAGAATTCTGAGATTAAAATCAGAATTCTGAGATTAAAGTCAGAACTCTGATATTTAAATCAGAATTCTGACTTTTTTCCATACTAAATTGAAATAAAAAAATTTTTCCAGTGGCCCTAATCCTCTTCTGTACTATCCAGAACTCCTCCAGTGGAAATTTTTGTTTTACCTGGTTTAAATGTTCAAGTCTTCTTTCAGGAGCCTTTGGCTATCAGATTAATAATCGATTATTTGAAGAAAAAAAAAAAAGAAATCGACAGATTAGTTAATTTGCAAAATAATTGTTTCAGGCCTACTTTAAACTAATCATTTCATCATAACAGTCAAAATCTGTTTCACTTTCTGTAATTTATTTTTTTGCATTTTTTTAAAACCCCTCATCTCAGATCTTTGACATATTCAAGTAGGACCACATATGATACATCAGCTGAAGGATGATTCCTCCTTTAGATCCTTGTTGGAGTGTTTAGGCCTGTTCGTTTTCCCAACTGGCTCATTCTTAAGCCTGAAATAAACAACATGCTGGCCTAAACCAGGTCTGAAAACTGGAAAGGGAAATGAAACAGCAGCTACAATACAGGTTTTAACTTCAACACTTAAAACTTTGAGGTACTATTTTTTTTTCGACTCATTCTTATTCATCTTAGAAGTTTTACTGTTTTTCTTTCCATGACCAGATCCTCTTAAGCAGAAGAGCCATGTTAAAACTGTTTGCATTATCCAAGTGATTTATTAGAGGCTGCAGTTCAGTTCTAGAGCAACCGTCTCAGTTGCTTTTTTTATAATGTAGGAAAACAACTTCTGACTACTTAGACATTAAAACATGCCAATAAATTGGTTTCAGTTTTATTTTCTATATGATCTAATTAAAATTTTCTTCCATCATTAAATCTAGAACTATTCCAAAGATAATCGAATTGATGAGAAATAAAATCAAATATAAGGAGCAAATTAAAATACCAATAGTTAGAAAATCTTTAATTGCAATCTCAACGTGACCCACATGGATACGGTTTGTTTAAAAAGAGGAGAGACACTGACTTTTTACATATCATTTATTATAACATAGGGACATACAGAAAATAGGTTTGGTCCATGAGAAAAAGTCTGCAGATTCACATAAGTCTACATCAGTCCACTCAGTGTTTTACATCTCAGAGGTTCTCCAACTCTCACACAACCCCAAACCCACGTTAGTGTATTCTTCGAGTTAATAAAACCCATCGGTCAAAATTCTTAACCTGCGGGAGACAGAAAAATGACCACATTTGGAAGGTAGGAAGCAGCAGCTGACTGCTTCTCATCACCCTCCGCCATGATCTCTCTTAACTTGAATAAAATATGGATAACTTTATAAGGCAGAAGTTTGAATTTACCCCAATTTAAATGGCGGCCATTCTTAAAACAAGATGCTTCACAGAAAGGTGGATCATTACATGTGAGCGCCCAATGAGGAACCAAATCACTGCACTGACAGCATTTCCAATCAATATAAATACTGTGGCAACAATCAGTAGACAAAAACTTAAGAAAAAGATAGAGGTTAACTTCTAATCCATCTGAAGTTTTTATTTTTGCTCAGTATTTACAAAACTATATAGACTAGAGGTACCAGTACTAGCTACTTTGATGATTACCTTTACTACCTAACAAGACAAATATGGATGTAATACATATTTTGTTAAAACAAGGATCACTAATAGAAAAACAAAAAAAGGACTAAACTTCATATCAAATGGAAACATTAAGAAAAAAAATAACCACTGTGCTGCAACAGTGTATGTTCTGCCACGACTCACTGAGCTGAAAACAGCCCCGCATACAGAGTGTGGGGCTGTCGAAACAAACCGACAGCTAAATCCAAGTGGCACAAACAGTCAATATGCAGCAAAGAAGCCCAACTGATCACAAACACGATCACAATCAATATTTACCTCCACGGGCGAGCACCTGAAGGCCGGTTAGGAGCGCAAAATGTCACTTTAGTCTCAACACAATAGAACAAAAGAGCAACAGCAGGCTCAACATTTGTTGTTGTTTCAGGGAAAGCTTACATTTAACGTTTTCAAGGACAATCTAACGTCTCTCTGTATTTGTGTCAGCGTACTAAAATAAAAGGAATGTGTTTAAACTAACTAAGCAGCAGAAGGAAATGTGATATGAAAAAAAAAAGTAAACTAAAACGGAATCCAACATAATTTCTGTTAAACTGCGTGAAGAAACAGAAAAAGTGACATCCTATTTAACAGTAAAGTCATTTGATATCCATTCTCACAAAGTTTTGGTGAAAAATACAGGGACTTCAGTTCACACCTAGCGCACACATTAATCAACTCCAACTGGACATCTCAATCCATCTTCATCCTCACGGTTTGATTCTGCAGGAAAAACCTCTTCAAGTGTTCCTGATTCCAAGCGCCTGCTCCAGCTCCTGTCGCCGCTGCTGGACCTGAAACGTGTTTTCATTGAGACAAAATAATCATGAGGAGACGTTCACAATAAAAAGATCAGAAAAAATGGATCAAAGACTAAATGAAAAACAGGCTGACAGTCAGAGTCTTCAGAGAATATAATAATCAGTATTGAAGCTGCAGGATATATTGCAATATAAATGATCAAGTTGAACATTTTTCAAGGTAGCAGATGATCACACAGGTCACTAATCACACTGAGACGCCTTAGATGAAAGAAAAAAACAGCAACTGATCAGCAGCAATATGTTCTCAAAATACTTTAATGATGAGGTAATTTCATTCTTTTTTTCTAACGTTAAAAAACTCTTATGCTACGTTCAGACCTAAAACAGCAGAGGCAGCAAGTTTACATGCAAAGTCAATGGTTGACACGCATCAAGGCGCAGCAAAACGTCACGCGTCGTGAGCTTCCGAGCATCTGACACGCTGCAAACGCAGCAGCTGCTGGATTTCGAAAAATTGAAATTTTGCTGCTCGATGCGCCACATCAGCCAATCAGAGAAGCTGATCTGGGAGCTGATGATACAGATCACTATGATCACTCGTCTGTAACAGTTTATTAACACCTAAATTAACTTAAAATATTGAAATCTGCCAGCAAAACATGTTTGCTTTTATTATCCTGGTGCCTGCAATTTGGATCACGTACACGAAAAACGCCTTGCAGTCGCCGTGGCAAACCGCCAAGAGGCGACCGGGCCAGAGGCTGCTGTTGAATGGGATTCCTAGTCACAGAGCACCGACGGTAAGTGGGGGTCTGAGCGAAATAATATTTGAAGGCAGGATGGTAACCTGGATGAACTGACTGCACTGATTTAGTTTTCAGGTGGATTTTCTGGCTGAAAAACATTAAAAGTTATTTTTACCCACTGATCACAGCAAATATAGCTGCCATTGCCACAAGCAAGGAAAGGATAGAGTAGCTCCGCCAGACGCGCCTCAGACCCACTTTACGACCGCACAACTAGAGCAGCGTCAGAACTAAACTTGTACAAACATAAAAAATGAAGCAGCGTACACGTTTTTGCTGCCCTTGCTGCTTGTGGTGTGAAAATAGCATTTGGGTTTCTGGATGTTACTCTTAACTTGAGCACATATAGATACAATTACACAACTACTTTCAGGAGCGTACACTTAACAAGGCTGTTACTAACCACTTATCTATCAATTTTATTTCTATACTAACAAAAGTGATGTACATAAAAAGAAGAATTAAAATAATGTAATAGGGTAATGAGGGAAATATTTACGACAAAAAAAAAAAAAAAACACAGTTCCACTCTGTTAGTGGATGAAGCCCCAACATTTCAACAGTAAAACGTAAGAAGTACTCCTTCAAGTCTTTTGGGGTAGAAAAAATAGAGAGAAAAAATACATGGAATGGGGTTACAAGAAAAAAAACGATACCTTGGAGTAGAAGTAGCGACACACTGCCTCCTGAGCCCACGGCTGATAGTAGAACTCTGCTCTCCGCTCTTCTTCTGGGTTTCCCACAACATCAG